GAGGCACGTCCACAGTAAAACCGTTGAAAACCAAGGACAGACGGAAAATCCTCAACACAGGCAGAGAAGAATGTGCGTCACCTGCAACGGAGTCGCCAGTGAGACCGCGGGAATGTCACTCCCGTGTGCGCTCCTGAAGGACAAGCCACAAGGCGCCCACAGCCAGGCAGAGCCGAGAGCAAATGCTGCAGCCAAGGCCTGGGCCCTAAGTAGATTTCGCTGTAAAACTGAGCAGAAAGCGACGTGGACGTTCGCACAGCAACAATGTAAACGTCACACACGCGAACCGCGTGGATAGAGCTGCCTGACAGCGGGGGACGGGGAAGGAGGAAACTGGGATAAGCTCCTGCATTTCCTGGTACGGACTAAACAGTTACCTAAGCTGACAATTCAAATCACAGAAACTGAAGCGCGTTTAAAAGAACAAAAGTAAACAATGAGGAAGCTGCTCCAGTGGCTAACATTAGGGGGCGGAAGAAAAATGAGAAATAAGAGTAGTTTTCAGGGACAAAGGAATAAATGAAAACAAGATCAAACAAACAAAATCAGTATATTTGTCTCAACTCTCTGCTTCCAAGGCCAAAAGGAAGAGAGAGACCAAAAATCCAATGGAAGGGTGAATAAAGGATGTTAACAGAGAGTTCACAGAAAAAGAAATACAAATGGATCTTAAGCATATGCAAAGATGTTTAACCCCCTTCACTGAGAGAAATGAAAATTAAAACCACGCTGAGAGTTAGAGGGGTGTATACATTTGCCAAATCTCAAAAATTATACACTTAAAAGATTTATACGTGTCACTGTACATAAGTTTTACCTGTTAAAAAAACTATAAATAGGCTGGGTGCAGTGGCTCACACCTATAATCCCAGCGCTCTGGGAGGCCAAGGCAGGAGGATCGCTTGAGGTCAGGAGTTTGAGACCAGCCTGGGCAACATAGTGAGACCCAGTCTCTACAAAAAAAAATTGTTTTAAATTAGCCAGGCGTGGTAGTGCACACCTGTAGTCCCAGCTACTCTGGAGGCTGAGGCAGGAGGATCTCTTGAGCCCAGGAGTTGGAGGCTGCAGTGAGCTGAGACTGTGCCATTGCAGTCCTGCCTGGGTGATAGAGAAAAACTCTGTCTCTTAAATAAAAACTATAAACAAATATTGAATTCTAGTTATAGCACTCAAGTGCTTTGAAGTGTACTAACATCTGCATCTTATTTTGAAATTCATTCAAAAATTTAAAAAATGGATAGGCAGACAAATATAAAATAAACCAAATATAGCAAAATGTTAACTGTAGAAACAAGGTGGTGGATGTACATACAATCCTTTCAACTTCTCTGTATGTTTGAAAACGTTTAAGATAAAATGTGAAGAAAAAACATAAAAATACAAAAGGATAACTCTGTTTTCAAGATTGTAATACAACAGTCTCTCTCAACCTTTGTCAGTGGAAGTTTATATAGATACAGCTTCGGAGATAATAATACCAATCGGAATTAACATGCATTTATCTTTAGACACAACAGTTCCACCTGAAGGAATTTAATCTACAGACATTCAGACATGAGCAAAATAACAGCTACAAGGACATTAGTTCTGTCATTGCATGACAAACAAAAGGTTGGAAATCATGTCTCATCAATAGAAGAACGGTTAAAAATACTACGGTATATCCACACAATGAAACACGACACAGCCATTAGAAAGAAGCAGGCTTCTATGCATTGATGTGAAGTAATCTCCAAGATATTTTACATTAAAAAGTAAGATTTGGGACAGTTTATACGGTAAGCTTGCATTTGCGTGACAAACAAATGCATCAATGTCCGTATCTTCTTTTACGGGCGCAGACTGTCTCCAGGTCAGAAGGATATGTCAGGACCTGGCCACAGTGGCTGCCTCTGGACGGGAACAGGGTCGCCGGGGGGGAGAGGTGGTTAAAAAAGCTGCTTTTCACGGTTTTCTTTTCATCTTTTTGACTTTTGAGCTGTATACAAGTATTACTTATGCAAAAATGTTAAATTTAATTCTCAAAAAAGTAAAACTGGGATCAGCATACAACTCAGCAATTCCACTTCCGGTTATAACCGGAAGTGCTGCTTGCTGCGCCCAGAGAGGGACCCGCACGGCCACGCCCACGGCGGCCACGCCCATGGCAGCCACGCCCACGGCAGCCACGCCCACGGCAGCCACGCCCCCCTCCGCTGAGAGGCGGAAACCACCCCAGCGCCTATCAGTAGACGGACGGATAAAGGAAATGGGGTCTGTCCTGCAGTGGAGCATTATGCACCCTTAGAAAGACGGACACTCTGACGGGCTGCAGCACGCATGACCCGCAGGACGTCCCGCAGGGGGGAATGCGCCGCCACAAGAGGGCAGACCCTGCGCGATCCCACCTGCACGAGGGCGCAGAGCGGTCAAGCTCGGGGACAGAAAGCGGCACAGGGGCTGCCCGGGCGGGGGAGGGAAGCGGAGTTCAGTCTGGCAAGACGGACAGAGTTCTGCAGGTGGACGGTGGTGACGGCTGCGCCACAACCTGAATGTCCTTACTGCCACCAGACATGCTTAAACGCCACCGCGCACGTACCAATGGTTAAGATGGTAGATTTTAGGTGTATTTGGCCGCACGTTTCTAAAAGCGACATTTTAAAAAGAGAGACAGGAAAGAAAAATGGCCCCGGCCAACCTTGTGGCGGCGCCCACCTTCGTGGATGGGGAGGAGCGCCCAGGCGGGCCTAGAGTCGCAGGAACGATCCACTTCCTCTGTCCCTTCCTGTTCCAGCTGCCCTCCAGCGCCAGGCCAGCGCCGCCTCTCCGAGGGAAAGGCCAGTTCCCGACGGCTCGTGTCCCCCCTGGAATGGCCGGGTCCTTATGAAGCGGTGACCACTCCAGGCAGCAGGTCAGTTGTCCGCAGGAGCAGGGGGACAGAGACGGGGTGAGGGAGGGACAGCACGGCTGCCTGCCGCCCCAGACACTCCAACGCTTGTGCAGACGCCTTCCCCCAGCTCCCCAGGAAAGAAGCCGCCTTTGCCCTTCCTCCAGGGGACAAAGAGACCCAGGGTATGGGATGTGGGATGTGGGACTTGGATAAGTCATTTCCCTGCTCTGTGCCTCAGTTTCCACATTTAATAATGGGCCCTTTGATGCATGGCTAACTGCTTCCCAGGCTACCGTGGGCTCTAAATATTAATAATAAACTGAATGTGAAAGCACAGTCCACAGCTCAAGCCCTCTGCAAATGCTGGGATAAGGACGGGATGACGGCCGTGTGGGGAGAGGGAGGACTGTGTGATGCCTTGTGGGCACAGGAATCCTCAGGGTCCTGACCCTAGAGCTCCCCTTGGTGGCTGGACCTGCAGGTAGCTGACCGCACCCCCCTGGCCTGCTCCCAGGAGCTCACCTCCCAGGGCCAAGGACTGTACGTTTAGTCTTCAGACCCTTAGGGAGCAGGTATTGTCACCTGTCCTCAGCAGCGGGGAGGTGGGACCGGGAGAAGTGAGTAAATCATCCCAGGGTATGAGTGATGTGTCGTCGTGGGTGTCCGCCGTGGGGTGCTAAAGATAGTCGCGAGTTGTCCAGACCTGCCTGCAGGGCGGTGCAGAGCCGGGGTTCGGTTACCTGCACCGGTTACCTGCACGGCTTAGAGCTGTGACCATGTGGGCCCGAGAGTGACGCAGCTGTCCCCTTCCCCTCCTTAGTGCCTCGTGCGCCCTGGGGGGAGAGGCGGGTGCCCTCACCTGCCCAGGTGAATGGCCACCCCCTCCTTCCCTGCTACCCGGACTCTCTCCGCAGGGGCGGAAAATGGTACCAGTCAGGCGGCAGCCGGAGGAGGAGCCCGCAGTCGCCCCCCCGAGATGGAAGAGCCCACGCCGGAGCCGGTCTACGTGGACGTGGACAAAGGGCTGACCTTGGCCTGCTTCGTCTTCCTCTGCCTCTTCCTCGTGGTGATGATCATCCGCTGCGCGAAAGTCATCATGGACCCCTACAGCGCCATCCCCACGTCCACCTGGGAGGAGCAGCACCTGGACGACTGAGGCCCCGCGCGGCGGCGGGACGAGCCCGTGTCCCCTGCCACCAGCCTGCCGGCCTGAGGAGGCCAGCCGTGGACGTGGCCCCGGGGAGAAGGCCCAGCCCTGGCTCGAGCACACAGGGAGTGCGGGCGCTGCGGCAGCCTGGGGTAAGGGCAGGGCCAGGCCAGGAGGCGATGGGGGGTGGCCTTCCCGGGCTCCCCGACACCTTCCGGAACCGGATCTAGCACAGACACCCCTTCCCCACGTGGCACGACAGAGGTCTCCTGGGGGGCGGGGGAGGGTCTCTGTTCTTGAAACCCAAAGTGGGGTGTGGAGACTCCCAGCGAGGGTCCCGCCGCGCCCCTGCCCAGGGCCGGCGGGGCCGGCGGGGGGGGCGGGGGGGGGGCCCGGGGGCTTGCTTGAAATGGCGCAGGGGGCTGTTGTGCGGGGCGGTTTCCCGGCGTTTTTTTTTTAACTTAAATCTTGGGGGGTTTTTTTTTTCTTTTTCGGACCCCATTTTGCAGTTTAGACATTTGGAGGAAAACAGAGAAACAGAAGCAAAGGGGGAAGGAACAGCCATGACCCTCCCAGAAGCCGCCACTGTGATACATTTTCTCCCGCCTTTTGCACGCGTGTTTACTCAAACGCACGCTCCACGCTTGGTGTCGTGTCGCTTCGCACGACGGTGGGAACTCGGCCCCGTTTCATCCGACACGCTGCTCAGCCGCTGCGCTCGGTGGCCGCGGGGAACTTGCCCGGGGTAGGTCGCGGTCCCATCATGTCCTTTGAGTGGACTGTTTCTTTTAACTAACTTTTCCTCACACAACATTATTTCACCCAGTAGCCTTTTGAGGGTGCACAGTCCACAAGATGCATATTGGACAGGGAGCCCTGGTTCTATCTAGTCCTGCTGTGTGACCTTGAGCAAGTGACTTCACCTCTCTGTGCCTCAGTTCCCTCGTTGTAAGTTAGAGAAGAAAAGCCTTGCCATTCTTTGTTTTATTTTTTTTTCATTTTTTGGCATCTATCGCGTGTGAATGCAAGGCTGGGAGCGGAGCGCTCTGTGCCGGTGCGGGAGGAATGACGCTGGAAATGGCTCCTCTCCGGGCCTCTCTCCCCTCCCCTCCCACCCACATCCATGACCTGGCAGCAAGCTCCACCCCTCCACTTCCTTGTCACATGACCCCAGATAACTCGCATGGCCTCGACTTCCTCGTCTTTACGGTGGGGGAATAACCTCTACCTCACAAGGTGGTGTGAGGACGGGCGGGAGAACGCGGGAAGGGTGGCGCTGCTTCCTGGATCCGCCACCCCAGGAGAAGCGCGGGAGGATCAGGGGTCCCCCTCCCTGCAGAGCCTGGAACCCTGGGCCTCCCTCAGCTTCCGGGCAACTTCCCCCCGGCAGACGTCCAGCCAGAGCCCCGGGGCAGAGGAAGACGCGGCAACCTGCCGGCACCTGACCGCCAGGGATGTGGCTGACGTCACTGTCACCGTCGTCAATTTGCCCACAAACATGCTCAGACACTGAACCAGGCCTCCCGAAGTCCCCTTCCCCTGCGCCCACGCGCCCTCCCTCCAGGGCTTGGCCTTCCCTGGCCCAGGAGACCCGCAGCTGTGCAGACACGCGCGGCTGCCTTCCCATCACCCGCCCCCCAGCCATGGGTGCCACCCCGGCCACTCGGGAACTGGCTTTCCAAAGCACTGTCACCATAGGTGACCCCCGAAGGTGGACAAGGCCACAGCTGTTGAGGCAGCGCGCCAGGGTGTGTCCGCTCCCCTCCGCCCACGCGCGCCGTGCGGGACACACAGGGACAGGTGGTGGCAGAGGCAGTGGTCTGAGGTGCCTGGAAGGCTCCGGATAAGAGGGAAGCTGCCAGTGAGAGCCTTGTGTGGCCTCGGGCCCAGCGACAGCAGCCGCGCCTCTGAAGCCCACCTCAGAGACGCCGGCACTTCGTGAAAAGCCCAGCATGGGGTTTACGAAACAAATCAGAACCACCCGAGTCAGCTGATACCAGCCCCGAGGACGTGGAGGAGGCCGTGGGCGCCCCTGTGGAGCTCGGGAGTGAAACAGGCGCCCGGGGCCGCGCTCGCTCCAGCTGGGGCCGCAAACGGCGTCTGCAACACCCGGGCTTGTTAGTGACCCGGGACCCCCTCCGACCAACCGGAGTCAGACTCTCCGGGGCGGAGCCGGGAATCGTGTAAGCAGCTCCCGCAGGTGTGTTAGATGCGCATGAAAGTTCCAGAAGCTCTGCCTGGGGATCCCCGGGTCCCAGTTAATTCCTTCCCACGCCGAGATTTGCCAGTATTTCCTATTTTCTCTTCGCTGTTTTTGACAGCAAGGGGAAATAATGACATTTCAGAAAAATATAAATATCGCTCCCAACCCAGGCCTCCGGCGAAACGGTGACTTTCATTTTGTGTCCACGTTCCCTTCTGACCACTGTCCTCACTCGAGATATGTTTTTCACAGATGCTGTCCCACGCGATTTGACACCACGCTCCTTCTCCTGACGGTCACCGCAAGCTGTTTCCGTGTTGCTACTGCTTCCTCATGTTCGTCATTCTAATGGCTACAGAACGTGACACCCGGCGCACGCGTGATTTACAGACTCCTGTAATTAAGTGCTTGGATTTCCTTCATTTTCCCCGTTGCACACGGACTGCGCAGAAACAGAAAGATGGAGACGCTGTGTGGGGCTGGGGGAGAACGAATATTTAACACCCCCCCAAGAGACGGGGAGGGAGGCTTCTAAGACGGGATCCCGGTAAGGGGAAGGAACCGCTGCGGTTCCAGCTTCTAATGTCGCGGGACACAGTCCTCTGCGGTCAGCGCCCTGCCTGGTCTCCGGCTGAGATGAGCTTGGGGACAGCAGACAGTTGAACCGCTCGGGGGAGCCGTGGGCGGGAGCGTGGGCGGCGGGAGGTGGGCGGGTGGCAGCGGGAAGCATTCAGAGCTGAGGGCCAAGGCCGGCCACAGTCCAGGCCTCGCGGAGAACACGGCGCGAGGACGCCCCCCGCAGGGAACGGGTGGGGGACGCTGCAGACGGCGACGTCCGGGCCGGTTTCCAGCCGCTGCCTGTCTGTGCTTGGCTGAGTCCCTCGTGCACTCGAGCCCTGGCTGCATCCGAGGCGCAGTCTGCTCCGTGGCAGGCGTGTGGGAAGCGCAGACGTCTCGGTGGCGGGTGCCATGAAGAAACCAGCCGGGAAGGGCCAGCAGTCCTGAGTGGAGGGGTGGCGGAAGTGCGCAGGCGAGGGGAGTGAGAACGCGGCCACCCAGAGAAGACAGGCAGCCCCTGGGGACGTGGAGACGGCGGGAATGCACAGACGGCCTCGCCTCGCGGGCTTGGCACCTCGGTTCCCACCACGGCCATCATCCTACGTTTTCCAGTTAGTTGCTCCAGCGTCCCCGTGTTCTCACTGGAAGTCCAGTGTCACCTGCCTCGTCAAACCGTCTCGGAGTCCCGGCGCTAGCTCAGCCCGGAAGGGGCTGGTCCTGCTCTCAAGCACCGAGTGGAGAGAACGGCGAGGCCTGGGGGGTCCCGTGGTGTGCGCCACGCCCCTCGGCTCACCGTCCAGGGCTGGTCCTGCCGTGTGTGCTGGCGGCTGCCTGCCGTGTCCCGGGCCCATGCTGAGTTCCCTGGTGTTCACGTGTTCACACGCCAGGCGTTCGGTCTGGCCGCAGCTCACAGACACGCCGCCCGTGCCAGAGACACCGACAGCCTCGGCCACTCCAGCCCCTCGAGTCCCTGATGGCCCCGGGCAAGATTCCTCCTCCCGGTGGGAGGGTCTCTCTGGGCCGCGTCAGTTCTGTCAGGAAAGAGCCGGCGCACGCCAAGCATTGACTGGAGGGAGCTCAATGAAAGAGGATTTGCAGCGGTTGGGCAGGGTTAAAGGGAACAGCAGGGAACAGTGAACACGCGGGACGGGCCCAGGTGGAGCCGTGGCCACCCCTGCCGCAGGGCACGGAGAAGGCAGAGCACAGGGAGAGGATCAAACCCCCCAAAACCGCACTCGGTAGGAAGGGAGGTGGGAAATAAATGCCTTGACCCTTGACCTCGCGCCCCCTGCCCTGCAGTGTCCCGTCTGGGTCTCCCACTGGTCCCAACACAGAAGCTGCAGCTCAGGGGACGGTGGGCGACCCGTACAAGTCAGCACACTCGAGCAGAGGCGGAGTCACCGGACGATCGCCCTGTTACCATTTAGTGTGGGGGAGAGGGTATCTGTCCCCAGCGTAGGGGAAACAAAGTTCCACCAGCCACCGTGTTGTCTGGGACTGATACTAACTTAGTCCTACTCCCACCTGGAGCTTAAATTGTCACACGGCCCCCGCTAGGTACGGGAAACACTTCATGGAAAGCGCAGCTGGTCACGAGGCCCAGGGAGGTGCCCCCGGCCTGTTCTGCCCCACCGATGCACCCCCCTCGCCCTCAGCCGCGCCTTGGCTGCTGCAGTATTTGATCTGGTGGAATGACCCAGATCTTCCTTCACAGAGGGTCCAGATTCTTGGTGCACTGTCCTTACTGAGTTGCCGGAGGGTCCCCAGATCCCTAAAGAACATGAAGAAGCCTGGAGGGGCTCACCTGGAAGCCAGGTGCTCTAGGGCGGTGCCGCTCGAACTAGTGTCCAAGGATGGGCGACTCGGCATCTCTGGGAGGTCTGCTGGACATCAGAGCGCACGCCCCTGCCCCAGACTCAGGGGAACAGGGACACAAGGTTCCAGAGCCGGTCCCCTTGCCCCCGCTGTACAGCAGACACCCCATTTCCCGTGGACGCGGGGAAACCACCCTGACAGCACAGTGGCCCCCACCGCCTCCCGGTTCAACATGAGGAGCCCCAAACGGCACAGGACCACGTCAGCTTCGAGTCTAACAGACCCGTAACTGTGTTCCCTGGTGGCAGCATTTCTTCTTGGCCACCAGGGATTCCCAGACCCACCAAATCCAAGGTCATAAAGATGGAAAACAAAATTCCACAGGTGGGCTATTAGGTACAATGGTGAGAAGAGTCACTCCCACCACCATCCCTCGGGTCCCAGACTAGGGTCTTCCGGCCAGGGGTAAGATGGCGCACAGCTCTACATTGGCCTCCGGTATAAGGTCAGTGCTGCCTCCTGCAGGTCAGCCTCCAAAACCGAGCCTTGCAAAGGTGGTTCTAGATCTCGGCCACGCCAGCTGGTTCTGGGTGAGCAGGCACGTGGCAAACCAGTGGGTTTCGTGGGTGTGAGCCTGCCGCTGCTGCACGGAGGAGTTCCTCGATTAAAGGTCGTGTGTGAGACGCTGAGACGGTTTGAACGTGTCGCCCAAAGTTCACGTGTTGGAAACTTGACCCCCAAGCAACAGTATGAGCAGGTGGGACCTCACGAGATTAGGCCACGAGGACAGAGTGAACGGATTAGTGCTGTTATCTCGGGAGTGGGTTGTTACAAAAGGGGGAGTTTGGCCCCATTTTCTCTCTTTCTTGCCCGCGTGATGCCTTCCACCAAGTCACCACGCTGCGCCAAGGCCCTCGCCAGGTGCCGGCCCCTCAAGCTCGGGTTTCCCAGCCTCCGCCATCGTGAGCCAAAAAAATCTGTGTTCAGTATAAATAACGCAGTCTGCGGTTTCCTGTTACAGCTAACAGGATAAGACAGACTAAACACCACGAATGGGGGGAGGACAGGGTTGGCGAATCCGCATCCAGAACGCGTGTCTGCTCCTGCCGCCCTCCGTAAGGAAAGGGATCCAACGTCACCACCTGCCGCCCAGCGGCTGGCCCGCCTCTCCGACCCACCCGATGGGCCTCGTGCGCGGGCAGCCGCGAACCCAGAAGTGCTGGGACCCGATGGGCCCGGTGAGGGCAGGCCCATGTTGCTGAGCCCACGGATGGCCTCTGCCCCTCCAACTACTGCCACTGTGCTCACGGTGCCACTGAGCAGACAGCAGGGTGGACAGGCTGGGTCATCTGACCCATCTGATCATCAGAGCCTCGACTGCGGTGGACGCCCTTGGCAGGCGCTTCCATGGCCCTCGAATACTTTGACGCATGGGGCCCTTCAAAGATGTCCTTTCACACACAGCTCCCAAGTCGGCCTCGAGCCTGCCTCCCCGCCCCGCACAGCTGGGCAGCGCCGCGGTTCTCCCACGGGCGTCTCCGTCTGCAGTAGGCGCCCAGGACCGCTGCGTCTGCTGGCCTGAGGCCCGAATGGCAGGAGGCTTTCCCCACAGCCCGACCTGTTCCACAGCCCTTCATTATTCTGGGCCTCCCTCAAACCAGCAGCCTTATGGTGTAAATGCATCAGAGAGCCACACGGACATCCTACACATGCCTCAAAAATCCAGAGACCCATCAATCCCCGAGCCTCTTTCTTCATGGAAGACGACGCAAGGTGAAGCAACGTGCTTCTCATGTTAGAGGGGATTTCAACTCCCCGCCCCGGATTGCTAGAACCCAAGAAACATCGCCAATGTGGCAGGTCCCTGACTTACACACGGGTTTTCTCTCCCCCTCTGGCAAGCACGAGCCATTTATGGCACTTGCTAGCTCCCTCCCGGCAGATCCAGTTAGCATGACGTCATAAATACAACAGGCAGCTGTGAGGTTCTGAGGCTGTCCAGATCATGGCGGGCCACACGACACGGCAGACAGCAGGAGAACCGGCAAATCCCGCGGCCATGCAATTACGGTTCACCACGCTCTCCCGGCAGCTGGAGCGAACTCCTGATTACCTGTATCGACCGGGGTGCAGTAGAAAGTATTTTCTAGTGCAGAGGTTCTCAAACTTCGGCTTGCACCAGAATCATCTGGGCAGCTTGCTCTAACACGACCCCTGGGCCCAGCCCCAGATTTAACTCAGGTGGTCTCAGACGTTTAGCAGGTTCCACGGCGAGGCTGACGCTGTGGTCTGTGAGAACTGCTGTCTAGTCAGCCACCAGGTGTGTGCCAGGTGCTGGGGCTGAACGGGTCTTCTCTAGAACAGATACCAGATCCAGAACAACCTCTGGGATTGGCATCAATTCCTGATAGTTCTTTTTTTTTTTTTTTTTTTTTGAAGACAGAGTCTCACTCTGTTGCCCTGGCTAGAGTGAGTGCCGTGGCGTTAGCCTAGCTCACAGCAACCTCAAACTCCTGGGCTCAAGCCATCCTTCTGCCTCAGCCTCCCGAGTAGCTGGGACTACAGGCATGCGCCACCATGCCCGGCTAATTTTTTCTATATAGTTTTAGTTGTCTGATTAATTTCTTTCTATTCTTAGTAGAGACGGGGTCTCGCTCTTGCCCAGGCTGGTCTTGAACTCCTGAGCTCAAATGATCCGCCCGCCTCGGCCTCCCAGAGTGCTAGGATTACAGGCGTGAGCTACCGCGCCCGGCCGATTCCTGATAGTTCTTGTGAAAACACATGGTCATGCTCTAGGACGCAGCCAGACAGGGGACTTGAAGGCTGATGGTGAACCTCTTGCCCTACCTCTCAGGTCCTTGGTGGGGGCACAGTCCGATGCCCTGGAGATGCAGCATTGCTCTTGGTCCGCTGCTCTGGCACAAGGAGGCAGTTCCAGGGACTTCCACGGGGCCCCTTCTGCAATAACAGCCGCCACTCCATGGGTCAAAACACCAGTGTGGTGATTCCACCGATCACTAAGCACATCTTTGCTGACTGCACCTTCCGGGACCAGGGAAGGAGCCACGGGGGGGAGGTCTGTGATCCCGCCGGACCCACTAGGAAACACTCTCACCACTTGACTCTGCTAAGCCCCCATCTGACCAGTGAGTCAAATGGCAATTTGGGTCTCTAGGAATTAGCTTTAGTTCTGACCGTTTTCAAGAACGGCTGCGAAGCCTTGCTATTACCAAGCGCACGGTCTCCCTGGCAGATGGCCACGGGTCCCTCTGCGAAATGCTTAGAGGAAATTGAAAACATAAACTTACGGCCAAATCAGACAGGCCTTCCTCACAGTCTCCACATCAATCGCGGGACCTACGTCTGCGCCTGGGGTTAGGGCTGGGTACAAAGTGGTCACAAGTCCTCCCTAGGATGACTCAAGTCAGATTTTGGCCCACAAGACCTAGAATTTTTCTATTTCATGTCTAGATACTCCATGGTAATCAGCCATACCACCGATCCCCGTGGTCCAGAACTCTCTGCCTGCCTTCTGCTCATGCTGATGTCATGGGGGTAGTACCCCCCTGACTCTTAGGATTAAGCACCACCCGCCCCATTCCAGGCTCTGGGAGCCCACGTGACTGCTGGAACGTGGGAACCGAACACTACGGCACCATCTCCCGCCGTCACCCCCAACCTAGGAGCACGGCTCTTCAAGAGCGTTGGGACGCCCTCTTAGAACACACTTCTCAATGCCTTGTTGAAGGAATTGTCCCCAGAGCCCTCCAGAAGGGTTTGTTTTGGGGCGACTGACCCAGCTGCACATACCAGACCCCCCAACATTTCCCGCTCCCTGGGCCTCCAGACTCCGCACAGTTCCAGGGGAATTCCAGGCACTCCAACCTCACTGACCGAAGGCCACTCACTGAGTTTAGATTTCAGCTAAGCAGATCAACTGAGCAGACAGTTTACGCCACTCCCAGGTGCTCATGCCAACATGTTAAATCCAGAATCTTCCATGAGTGCACGCACGTCAATACGTTACTTCCCTAGATTTTATCGTCCTCGGTCTGAACCTCTTGGAACCCATTC